ATAGATAGATAGATAGATAGATAGATAGATAGATAGACAGACAGATAGATAGATAGATAGATAGATGACAGACAGAAGGATAGATAGACAGATCGACAATAGATTTATAGACAGACAGACAGATGGATAGATAGATAGACAGAAGATAGATAGTCGATAGATAGATGCAGACAGACAGACAGACAGATAGATGACAGACAGATAGATAGATAACAGACAGACAGACAGATAACAGACAGACAGACAGACAGACAGACAGACAGATGACAGACAGACAGACAGATAGATAGATAGATAGATAGATAGATAGATAGATAGATAGATAGATAGATAGATAGATAGATAGATAAACTTAAAATAACTTTTCTATTTGAATATATTTTAAAATATATAAAATACTCTAATATGCTGATTTGGTGCTCAGTTATTATCAGTTATTATTAGTGCTCAATTATTAATAATGGTTTTTATTATTATCAATGCTGAAAACAGTTTTTGCTGCTTAATATTTTTATGAAAAAAGTGATAAATTTTTACACCATTCTTTAATGAATACAAAGTTCAAAAGAACAGCATTTATTTGAAATAGAAATCTTTTGTATCATAAACGTCTTTACTGTCACTTTTGATCGATTTAATGCACTCCAGTTGAATAATAGTATTTTTTTCTTAAAACTTTTTAATGGTAGTGTATCACAGTTTCCACTGAAATATTGTGCAGCACAACTGTTTTCAACATTGATAATAATCAGAAATGTTTCTTGAGCAGCAAATCAGCATATTAGAATGATTTCTGAAGATCATGTGACACTGAAGACTGGAGTAATGATGCTGAAAATACAGCTGCGCATCACGGGAATAAATTATATTTTACTATATATTCACATAGAAAACTGTTATTTTAGATTGTAATAATATTTCACAATTTTCTACTGTATTTTTAATCAAATAAATGCAGCCTTGATGAGCAGAAGAGACCTTTCAAAAACATTACAAAATATTAATCATTCAAAACGGTTTACATGATTTAAAGTGTTATTTGTTCCTGTACGTTTCATGGTAAAGCATGTAAATTTACAGCAGTAAAAGTGGCACGTTGAGCCCTAATGGACTATTACAGTATTCACAGAGGAGGACCCATGAGCTGTGGGTTTAGTGTTGAGTCTGTAATTACAGACACACCAGCCGCTGATGAACGAGCCTCACTAATTAGCACATATCACATTCCACTGTGATTGAGAAATTAATGAACGCGACGAGCCTCCAATCAAACCGGCCACTCGCTCTCGCCCTTCTGATGGGCTCGTCCGCACAGAAACATCTTAATATGATTAAGAGAACCGCATCTTTCTCTTGAACTTTCTTTCTTTGTCTTTCACTGCTGCTGTTTAGGAGTCTGGCATCACTGACAGTTCATAAAAACCGCTGTAGCTCACTTCCCACAATCCCATTTAATCCTGTGCTTTCTGCTCTGCGATAAAACAACCTTTGTGTCGTTGAGTGAGACATAAAGGAGCTTCAGGACGAGACGCCGCGAGACACGAGCACATGAGACGCCTCACAGCAGTCAGATGACGAGAAACTTTCTACGGATTACTGTGGGAATCTGTAATGTTAATTTACGACATGAGAAAGAATAAGACCATTCACACAATCCTGACACTTATTTACAACTTCCAATCACATGAATCAAAATGAACTCTATTTACTTTCTTAATTCATTTGCCTGGTCTTATTGTGAATGATTCGTCAATGCAAGTTAAGTCTAGCTAACTAAATAAATAAACAAACATATATCACAACCTGCTTTACTTCTAATGTATTTTAGATATAATCAATTGTTTAGAAATGTTATATGCATGTATATGCACACCCTATATGCACACATCAAATTATGTCAATAAAGAATCAGTCTACCTATAGATTGCTTCCCAAAATATTTCCCAGTGGTTAAAAGCAGAGGTCATATTTGATGTCAGTCAGAATATATCTGCCATCTGCAGGAGGATGCTGAAGCAGACAGATGAGAAACCTCTGAAGAATAGTCCAAATCCATCTTTCTTCGCAGCTAAAGGCCACAGCTGAGCCCATGCTCCTCTAAACACTCGCTCCGTCTCTCCTTCCCTCGGGTTTACAGGCTAAACGCTCAGCCAGACCGCACTTAACTACAGCTAATAGCCACATTAAGCTTCCTTCAAACGCTCACTTAGTCTTCTGGGCACATTAGAGCAGATAACGAAACAAAATCACAGCAAACATCTCCTAATGCTGCTGTCATCATCACACGTTATACATGATGGCATATGAAGTATGATTTACAGTAAGCAGGCCATTGATTTATTGATTTTTATAAATCTCCATAACATAATTGTTTTAGAGGGTTAATGAAGAGACACTAGATGGGTTAAAATAGTTGATCTGTTTGTTTGACTTGTCAACCACTGACTCAACCAATCACGTGAGTTTGGGGGCGGGACTAAGTGGCCATATAACAGTAAAAAAATGACAGTCAACATGAAACATGAAGTGTTTTTACTTCCCTAGTCAGAGGTACGTTTAAGTGAAACAGGATATTCAACAAGAAAAAAAAATATATCCATCAAGGGCTTCAGCGACATCAGATAAAAAGGAAAGTCATGTTGTTGTTTTAATGCATCTGTATGCATTTTTTCTTTGTAGTAACATGCACAGATTAATTAATTTATCTATTATTTAATGCCATATCAGCATCAAAGGCTACAGTATATTCATGGCGAACTAAAGAGCAATACAATTTAAAATAATCATAACAATAATACTTCAATTAATTGTATACAATACTTTTACAATCTCATCTTTGCAAACAATAAAATAAAATAAATAAATAAATAAATAAATAATAACTGTGCACTGATTAATCATTCACAATTCTTTGTATTTGAGTTTATTGGCATACAAACTTCAATAAATAAATAACAATTGTGCACTGATTAATCATTCAGAGTTATTTGAGTTTATTGCATAGTGGCTTCAATAAATAAATAAATATATAAATAGAAATAAACAAATAACAATTGTGCACTGATTAATCATTTACAATTGTTTATATTTGTGTTTATTGCCATACCAGCTTCAATGAATGAATGAATGAATGAATGAAAACTGTGTACTGATTAATCATTCACAACTATTTGTATTTTATTGCCATACCAGCTTCAGTAAATGAGTGAGTGAATGAATGAAAGAATGAAAACGGTGTACGGAAACTATTTGTATTTTATTGCCATGCCAGCTTCAGTAAATGAGTGAGTGAATGAATGAATGAATGAATGAATGAAAACTGTGTACTGATTAATCATTCACAAATGTTTGTATTTTATTGCCATACCAGCTTCAATAAATGAGTGAGTGAATGAATGAATGAAAGAATGAAAACTGTGTACTGATTAATCATTCACAAATGTTTGTATTTTATTGCCATACCAGCTTCAATAAATGAGTGAGTGAATGAATGAATGAAAGAATGAAAACTGTGTACTGATTAATCATTCACAACTATTTGTATTTTATTGCCATACCAGCTTCAAAGGCTATTTCGGGACAGAAATTAATCAAACATTTGTTTAAATTCAGGTAAAACTGTTCCATACAAAAGGAAACTATAAAAGATTCTTTAGTTGTACTTGTGATAAAAATCACATGTTTTTCTTGTGGCCATACTAGTGAAGTAAATGGTTGATTTTGAAATTTTCACGAGATTGAGACGTTTAAAACACAGAGAAACGCACACAGACCTTTATCCTGTCCATGCAGGCCTCCATCTTCAGCTGCTCCACGGCTTTCCGGGCCTGAGAGATGCTGGCGGTGCTGTTATTAGCCATTCCGTCCTTCATGATTGAGTCCTGCACACAAAACACACACCAGATGAGACACCGAGAGTCTGTGAGCTCAGGAAACCAACACGCTCCTACTTCTGTATTATTACAGCACATCTGACTTCACAACCAGCACTGACTCCAGACGATCTCAACAAAATTACACAAAATACTCTATGGTATACCAGTGTAGTCCCATTGTATTCTTATGAGTACCTTGGCGTATCAAGTAAATACCACTGTATATGAAGACCGTAATCATTCAGTACCATGGTATGTATATATCAAAGTACTAAAAGTCAATTAAATAAATAAATTCAAATAGAATTTTGAAGATATCAAAATTGATCAAAAGTGACAGTAAAGACATTTATAATGTTACAAAAGATTACATTTCAAATAGATGCTGTTCTTTTGAACTTTCCATTCATCAAAGAATCCTGAAAAATAAAATGTATCAGTTTCCTCAACAATATTCATCAGCACAACTGTTTTCTTGAGCTGCAAATCAGCATATTAGAATGATTTCTGAAGATCATGTGACACTGAAGACTGGAGTAATGATGCTGAAAATACAGCTGCACATCACAGGAATAAATTATATTTTACAATATGTTACAATAAAAGTCCGTTATTTCAACTTGTAAAAATATTTTGCAATTTTTACAGTATTTTTGATAAAAATAAATGCAGACTTGGTGAGCAGAAGAGACTTTCAAAAACACTCTCACTGACGGCAGTGTATATATTCACTATAGAAATGTCCATGACTTTTTATGATTTTATTCATTTCCGTGCATTTTCCAGAACTATAAACCTTGCACAGTGTGTTTTGCACCATTTCTCAAGTCTATGCCAATGCTGTGACATAACAGCTCCATTAACACCTGTCAAAACAGGTCAGAGGAGCAGCTAAAAGGTTCATTTTGAATCATTTTTACACATTAATCAGTACACAGCATTAAAGAGAATCCCAACAGAACATATGGGTTAAAAAGGCGTTTATGAAGCTCCAAGCATCCATCGTGCTCATGTGCATGCGGCGCCACACCAATGCTGAAGACAGGCCAGAAGCACTGGAGCATTCGGGTGAATAACATGCATCATAGAAATAAACCAACATTTACCCGAAACCGTTTTAGCTTTCATATTTAATGCTCATTATTTGTAGGCGACATGTGCTCAAAATCTAGAATCAGCAAAAAAAACCGAGGGTCGTGATTATTATTCCTCCATCCGTTCATTCAAGGCCATTTCGAGAATGAGAACGCTTCGCTCATCTGGATCTTTACGATCCTCACAGCCGAGCGTTTCGATTTAAAGGCGGAATCAAACGCCCAAGCTTCCAGCATCATTCCCCAAAAACCTGCGGGATCAATCCATCACCCCGCGTCCCTTCAGACTGGATCTACAGCACAAGCGCCTTTAAATTCGACTGTAACACAACAAGCGCATCCGACACCCGTGAAGCCGCTTCCGGAACGCTGGAATTTGTTACAATGTTGCAAAAACGTTCTGATGCAATAGAACAGGGAACGCGATTTAAGGCAATTCGCACAAATACCTGCTGCTGAAGTCAACACCCACCTGAAGTGTGTCACAGCTCAGACTTCAGAATACGGCTCGACTCCACCCGAACGCGACGAGGAAAAACCCGCAACACCTCGAACACGGTCAAAAATTGATCAAAAGTGACAGTAAAGACATTTATAATGTTACAAAAGATTACATTTCAAATAGATGCTGTTCTTTTGAACTTTCCATTCATCAAAGAATCCTGAAAAATAAAATGTATCAGTTTCCTCAACAATATTCATCAGCACAACTGTTTTCTTGAGCTGCAAATCAGCATATTAGAATGATTTCTGAAGATCATGTGACACTGAAGACTGGAGTAATGATGCTGAAAATACAGCTGCACATCACAGGAATAAATTATATTTTACAATATGTTACAATAAAAGTCCGTTATTTCAACTTGTAAAAATATTTTGCAATTTTTACAGTATTTTTGATAAAAATAAATGCAGACTTGGTGAGCAGAAGAGACTTTCAAAAACACTCTCACTGACGGCAGTGTATATATTCACTATAGAAATGTCCATGACTTTTTATGATTTTATTCATTTCCGTGCATTTTCCAGAACTATAAACCTTGCACAGTGTGTTTTGCACCATTTCTCAAGTCTATGCCAATGCTGTGACATAACAGCTCCATTAACACCTGTCAAAACAGGTCAGAGGAGCAGCTAAAAGGTTCATTTTGAATCATTTTTACACATTAATCAGTACACAGCATTAAAGAGAATCCCAACAGAACATATGGGTTAAAAAGGCGTTTATGAAGCTCCAAGCATCCATCGTGCTCATGTGCATGCGGCGCCACACCAATGCTGAAGACAGGCCAGAAGCACTGGAGCATTCGGGTGAATAACATGCATCATAGAAATAAACCAACATTTACCCGAAACCGTTTTAGCTTTCATATTTAATGCTCATTATTTGTAGGCGACATGTGCTCAAAATCTAGAATCAGCAAAAAAAACCGAGGGTCGTGATTATTATTCCTCCATCCGTTCATTCAAGGCCATTTCGAGAATGAGAACGCTTCGCTCATCTGGATCTTTACGATCCTCACAGCCGAGCGTTTCGATTTAAAGGCGGAATCAAACGCCCAAGCTTCCAGCATCATTCCCCAAAAACCTGCGGGATCAATCCATCACCCCGCGTCCCTTCAGACTGGATCTACAGCACAAGCGCCTTTAAATTCGACTGTAACACAACAAGCGCATCCGACACCCGTGAAGCCGCTTCCGGAACGCTGGAATTTGTTACAATGTTGCAAAAACGTTCTGATGCAATAGAACAGGGAACGCGATTTAAGGCAATTCGCACAAATACCTGCTGCTGAAGTCAACACCCACCTGAAGTGTGTCACAGCTCAGACTTCAGAATACGGCTCGACTCCACCCGAACGCGACGAGGAAAAACCCGCAACACCTCGAACACGGTCACCGTCCGTCCGCTCGCGTTCATTCGCCGCACGCCGTTAAACGTCGAGTGTTTCCCCGCGTTCTGCTCTGGCGCTGGAGTCGGTGTCGGTTCACGAGATGTGAGGGGAACCTCGATGTGACGCGAGGAGGACGCAGGTGTCGCGTGTCGGTTCACGAGATGTGAGGGGAACCTCGATGTGACGCGAGGACGCAGGTGTCGCTGCGCCTTTAAGAAGCCCGACGGACGCGCCGCGGCAGAAGACGCTCGGTGTCGGATCGTTAGGACTCTTCTTTTTGCGGGGCTCACCGGAGGCGCGTGAAGTTTCCCTGCTTAATGTGACATCACCGGGTCTCCCGGTCACCGAGATGACGTAACCGCCTCGCGCTGTGACGTAACACTGTGAAGAATATATAGCAAGTTTCACGAATTAAACAAAGACACAAATGCAGTTGGGAACTTGGTGAATAGAATAGAATAGAAAACAAATGGAGGTTCTTTTAAGAACTGAAAGATTCTTTGGGGAACCAAAAATGGTTCTTCTGTGGTATCGCTATGAAATTCCTCTTTTGGATCCTTTTTTTAAGAGTGTAGAACTGAGCAATATAGAATAAAATAAAGGTTCTTTATTGGGATATGGCTCCATCAATCAGGGTTTCTGCAGGTTTTATGAAGGTAAATGCTTTTTAAGATCTAGCAGAAAAAACAAAACGACTTCATATGTTCAATTTCCAACTCGAGTAAATGCATCTTGATTTAAAGATGTTTAGATGTTTTTTATTATTTTTTTTGCAGTGCATGCAACATTTAATGCCATGACTTTATGAAATGAAGACTTTCCGCTGCGATTTAACACCTTAATGTGTGGAAGGCCAAATTAAGACTTTTTAAGACCGGCAGAAACTTTAACATCCATCCAAAGGTTCTTCTTAGTGGAAAAAGTTCTTCACACTAAGAAAATGGGTTCTTTTAAGAGCTGTTCACTGAAAAAAGGTTCTTCAATGGCATCTCCGTGAAGACCTGCTTAAGCAAACTTTATTGGCATCGATGGTTTTGTGAAGAACCTTTAACATCCATGGAACCTTTCCATTCTACACAATTCCACTTCTTTATAGTGTAAAAAGGTTCTTTAGATTATTAAAATGTTCTTTACTCTAAAAAAAACGGGTTCTTTTAAGAACTGACGATCACCGGATGGTTCTTCTATAGAATCCCTGCAAAAAGTGAACCTTTATTTTTAACATTGTATAGAATAAACAAGTCCAACAAACTGAATCAAAATTTCTTGAATATTTATATTTATATTATATATAGGTGACATTTTATTACATATCTCATAAATACAAAAAAAAAAGGGAATAAATGTCCCAGCCAGGCCTTGGTGAACATAATCTTAAATTACATAAACTACAGTTAATTCAACAGAACGATAACAATATGCCTTTTCGTGATAGTTTTGTCAAATAAATTCACTCATCTCGCTTTACAAATTCACACAATGACAGTAACATCAATCTCTTTCTGAGGAAATGCAAACATGACAATACTGTGCACGATAATTAAGAGATAAATGTGATGCAAGCATGGAAAATAGATTCAAAAACAATAAACCAAACACATAACCAGGGCTCTGTAAAGACCAGATGATTCTCCCGAACTAGTCGACGGTCTTGCTTTTTTTTGGATTTGTATTGACTGAATAACTTCATTTGAGGGTTGAAGTGATACATATGGTAGATATATCTGAAAACATAGTAGTGGGGGAAGAGGTGAAAGCATTCCCTTTCTGGTAAACACTAAAATGTAAGACGAGATAATTCAATTTAGTTGTAATGGACAACTAAAACTAACAGCAAATACAGAACGGGAAAAAAAACAAACAAGGCAAAGACGATTCTGGATCATGTTTAGTTGGTGGACTTCAATTATTCTTCCTCCACATTTAAGGCTGTCGACACTTACGACTTCAAGAGCATCTGATCCTTGTGACAATCTGAATGTACTGACGGGGAATTGTAATTTTTTTAGGTATATAGCGTCATCTTTGTACAATAAACATGTTTTTTTTTTTTTTATTGTAACCAAAAGTTTTCCTAATTTTATTTGTTAAAGAGGGTCCTTGAGGTAGATCTGACTAAACTTTATATTGTATCGCCAATGTTAGATAATGCTTAAGTGATCATAACATGCAACACATAAAACTAGAACAGAAAAGAAGAAAGTAGCACGTTTTTAATGAACTATTACGAATTTGATGTGGTAACTGGGACGTTTGTGTCTGTTAAACAAAGTCAGGCTGAAAAGCACAGGATAAATATTAGCACAGTCAGCGATTCATGAGTGACACACGATCACCTTTAACATTCATAAGATCGTCCCAAGTGCATTTTATAATGAAGAACAGGAACCAGACGTTGAGATTGTGGCTTTCATCCTTGTTTGAGAATAAATATTTCAGCGGTTTGTCAATGAGGGATGAAGTTTAAAAAGGCATTGCGTGCACACATTCATTACACCGCTGCATGTCACTCATGCACGAGTTTCACATGCTGAAAATGTCCCGTTTAAAACCTCCCACGTGGATCACGAATGCAGTTTCTGCAGGAACGCAGACAGACGGTAGTGTTCAGATGATTTCAGTCTGGTTTGGCTTCAAAAGCAGGATTTCTATTCTCAGGATGGCGACGGGTGGGCGAGACGAGGGACAAAAAGAAGGAAAGGCCTTCAAACGTTCAGTCTGGGCAGACCAGATTGTAGCAGCTTTCAAAATCAAACATCACAAAAACAAATACTACATGAATCACAGTCAAAACAGACGAGGAGAAATGACGCGGGAAAAGGCCTGCGCTCGCTCTGCCTCACGACCCCCTGCTCTTTATGGTACAGTAGCTTCAAGTGCCGTCCATTCCTATGGCGTTTCAGGGGGCGGGTTCTGTGATGATCGTGGGCGGGGCTTTGTGCATGCTGGCTCCTCCTCTTCCTGGGTCGGCGGAGTCGCTCTCAGCGTCCGTCCTGTGTGGGTAACGAGCGGCGTGATGCAGGATCAGCCTGCAGCATAGCTGCTGAGGAACGAGTAAAACATGGGCAGCTTCATGCGCTGCTGGTCTCGACGGCACCACGCGATCACTGTGCCCTCGCTGTTCGCCGTGTAGAGGTGATGACCGTCACACGAGAACGTGAGACTGAGAGAGAATCCAGAAGGAAATGTTATTAACCACGGGACACTTACACTACCAGTTATTAAGATTTAAGTCTCTTCTGCTCACCGAAGCTGCATTTATTTGATCAAAAATACTGTAAAAATTGTAAAATATTACTACAGTTTAAAATAGCTGTTTTCTCTATAAACGTATAGTAAAATGTAATTTATTTCTGTGATCAAAGCTTAATTTTCAGCATCATTACTCCAGTCTTCAGTGTCACATGATCTTCAGAAATCATTCTAATATGCTGATTTGATGCTCAAGAAACATTTCTGATTATTATCAATGTTTTTCTGAAAACCGTGATTCATTTTATTTTTCAGGATTCTTTGATGAATAGAAAGTTCAAAAGAACAAATTTTTTTTTAATTGAATCTTGTAACATTATAAATGTCTTCACTGTCACTTTTGATCAACTTAATGCATCCAATATTTTATTTTCCAAAAATATCATGATTTCTGGAGGATCATGTGACACTGAAGACTGGAGTAATGATGCTGAACATTCAGCTTTACATCAAAGGAATAAATTACATTTTTACCATATATTCACATTAAAAAAAAGTTTCAAATTGTAGTAATATTTCACAATATTAGTGTTTTTACTGTATTTTTGATTGAATAAATGCAGCCTTGGTGAGCCGTAGTGACCAGTAGTGTATAGGTGCATGTAACTTTTCCAATAAAGATATTAGAATAAATCCATGTCATATGAGGTAAAAGTGTGTACCTCCTGATAGGCCTGTTGGATTTTGGGAAGGTGACATATCCTAATGATTTTTGGCATAAAAGAAAAATCTATAATTTTGACCCATACAATGTATTGTTGGCTATTGCTACAAATATACCCCAGCGACTTAACACTCCTTTTGTGCTCCAGGGTCACATATTAAAGTAATTTACTGCTACTTTGATGTAAAAGTACTTTAAATACACAACAAAAATTGGTGTAGGATTTAAATTGAAACAACTTTCACTCAGAAACTGCAAGTACATTTCACAAATAATTATAAAGCAGGTCTGGCAAATGCATAAATGTAAATGTAATGCATGAAATGTAAATTCTACAGTGATCTAAGAAGCACAGACCTGTTGAGGTCCCACAGGATGCAGGTCCCATCTCGACTGACACTGATGAGGATGCTGTAGGGTTTACAGACGAACAGGCCCGTGACCTCCGCCGTGTGACCGTACAGGTGAACCTGCGTCTCCACCTCCATCTCTGTCGGCTGAGGAAGAAACGGACTTTACCATCACACGTCTCAATGGAGAATGACTGTAATTACAAGCAGATCTAGAGGGTAAGTGTTTTGCTAATGGCCTCATTAGAGAAGGGATAATGGCCTCAATAAGCAGAAGTGAGCTGAAAGACCGCTTTAACAGATGATTCTGATCTGGTTTTATGGGCCAGAGTAAACAAACTAGCACATGGCTGTATGTAGAGTGTAGCTAACAGCTAAATCTGCCAAAAATTAATATTCATGGTTATTTTATTGTGCATTTGACAGATTCTGGACTTGAAAAAAAGCTGTGAGAACATTTTTTAGATTATCTTATTTCTCACTTTAATTTACTTTAACTTGATGTACATAAACTAAAAATGAATAAATTATTTATATATACATAAAAAAATTAATAAAAATAATATATATATATATATACCTAAAGGGACATTTGCAAAAAAAACTTTTCATGTGTGCACGTTACAATGTCCGATTTATGTAAACTATAACCTACTTCCTTTGTCCGTCACTGCTATTTTTACTATAAAGAGCTCGATGCACATTGCTCAAAAATGGGCTTTTCTACCTGTATCACAGCCTTATGTCCGCTTTAAAGCATCCTGAGACAGCCGCGCCTTGAAATGGGCTAATGGTGCAATACTGTGTGCATTTGTCAAGTTCAAGGGTCCAGTGTACTTATAATATCATGGCCTTATGTCGCTTTAACACATCCTCTGTGACAGCAGAGAAACCTCGCTGTGAAATGGGCTGATGGCGCAATACGGCTGCGTGTATTGAGCTTTAATTTTGGATTTCGTTAGAGCAGTTCGTGGAGTATGAGGCTGAATCCAGCTCCTTATTCGTTTGTTATTTACTGAAGCGAATTTATATAACGAGCGCTGTTAGAACTGAATGAAGAAACTCAGCATTTCTCCGCAATCTGCAAAGATGCATTAAATCCGAAAAAGTGCTTAAAAAAGGATATTTTGATCTTGTGAAATATATATATATTTCATATATATTATAGTATTGAATATTCCTCAGAATACCTTATTTTATTTCAGCTAGTTGCCAAGGCAGCATTTCTCATTTTCATTCATGTACTAAAATAACTAAAACTGAAATAAAAATAAAAAATAGACATAACAAAAAAAATTTATTTTGACAAAAACATAAAATTATTAAAATTTTAAATTAAAACCAATAATATAAAAACTAATTCAAACTATTAATAAAAACTCAAAATAAAAATAATAAATATAAATCTTGATACTAATTGTAATACTGTTTGATTGCACTTTAAATTAAACAATATATCTAAATATATACTAAAATATTTCATTCTTTATATAAAATTATGTGCATTACAGTAACAAAGAATAATGCTCGTAATGCTCCTAAAATAGCAAAATGGCAAAATTTAATTTCTTACTTTTGATTTTGGGTAAAAAATGAGTTCTTGACTAATTTAAGTTAACTTTAATGGCTGTTCTGGATCTACATCCCTTTAAGGCTACTCTATGTAGAGTGTATGTAAGAGTTAAATCACTGAAAAATGAACATTTTCATCATATTTATGGTGATTTTGACAGCCTCTGATCTTGAAAAAGAGCAGCGTGAACATTCTTCAGAATATCTTCTTTTGCACTCCTCGGAAGACAAAGTCACATGGGTTTGGAACAACATACATGAATGATGACAGAACTGAAATACTCCTTCTAATATCAGAAAGATTCATTTAAACTAACATGAGAAGCAGAACGGCACCTGCGTTATCAATGAGCGAGCGTTTGAAAGAGCCGTCTGACGCCCAGACTTCAGCCCACCTGTGGGCCGCAGGAAATGTGTTTCTAGTGCAACCGGGAGATGACTAACAAGGCCACTACAAACACTGTGTGTGTGTGTGTGTGTAGGTGCTCTACAGGGAGTGATAATGGACGTGGGCGGCCGCGTGGGTGGGGGAAGAGGGGGGCCGTGTTGCCATGGTTACATACCATTGTGGTGGTGAAGCGGTTGCTGTAGGCGGTTATGACTCCACACTTACTGCCTGTAAACAGCTGACAACTGTCCGGCACCCAGGCACAACTAGTCACCTGAGGAGAGAGCAGAGAGAGCAGAGATTATAGAGAGGATAGCAGGAAACCATGGGCGAATCTCATTAAACCCATCAAGACCATGTCTGCCTCATATTCATATTGCAACCCCCTCCTCCAAAAAAACAATCAAAACCTTCATTAACCAAGGATGCATTAAATTGATCAAAAGTGACAGTAAAGACATTTATAATGTTACAAAAGATTTCAATTTCAAATAAATGTTGTTCTTTTGAACTTCTATTCATCAGAGAATCCTGAATCACGGTTTCCACAAAAATATCAGGCAGCACAACTGTTTTCAACATTAATAATAATCAGAAATGTTTCTTGAGCAGCAAATCAGCATATTAGAATGATTTCTGAAGGATCATGTGACACTGAAGACTGGAGTAATGATGCTGAAAATACAGCTTTGATCACAGGAATAAATTACATTTTAATATAAATTCACATAGAAATTATTATTATAAATAGTAATAATATTTCATAATGTTTAACACACACACACACACACACACACACACACACACACACACATACATACATACACATACATACAGTGGAGATCAAAATTAGAGAAAAACCTACAATTTCCAAAATTTCAAGGTCACTGCTTAGTCCTATTAGAAGTTATCTTATCAGGAGTAGAAGGGCAGTTTTTTAAAGCATATTTCATCAATTAATTGTATTCTGAAGCACAGTATAAAAAACTTAAATGACATATTTGAAAAAGAACTCTGATCAAAATTACAGAACACTTTCAGATACCTCCAAGTTACTGGTGTTAATCTGGTACCTGGTGCTAATTTCATTAATTATCTGACAAACCCTGTTTAAAGGCACAATATGTAATTTTTCGCCGTTAGAGGGCGCGTATTCAAAATAAACAAACAGACAAAGGCGTAGTTAGATAGAGTGTGGAATCATGGGAGTTGTGGTCCTTCTAAACATTTGGGATAATGTAAGTACACAAGTCAGCAAAATATATAACACTGTTCTAGTGGTTTTTGGATTTTTAATAAAAAAAATCTTACATATTATGCCTTTAAACTGGCAACATTCCTCTAATTTTCACTGAGTTTGCATGATTAGTGATGAGAGCAAGTTTAGTTTATTTGGGTCTGATGGGAAACATAATGATCAGCATCAAACTGGGGAAAGACTGAAGCCAAGTGCGTAAAGAAGTCAGTGAAAGCTGGAGGAGGAAGTGTGATGGTTTGGGGGATGTTTTCTGTAACAGGAGTTTGGTCTCTTATACAGATACATAGCAGGTGAATGCAAATGTTTATCAGAACCTCCTTCAGCAACATGCAGTTCCTTCCCTGCAAGCATCTCCCAATCGAAAGACAATGTTCCCGTCACACTGCAAAATGGGTAAAGCAGTTCTTGAAGCTGAAAACACTGAAATAATGAAATGACCGGCCCAGAGTCCTGATCTAAACCCGACTGAAAATCTCTGGAAAATCCTTGGCGACGAAGTTCTGGCTAAGAAACCCACTACAGTCACCGAACTATAGAAGAGACTGGAAGAAGAGCGGAGCAAGATCACAGCAGCGCAGTGTGAGAAACTAGAGATGTGCTGAAGTCACTCAAAGCAGGGCCTCTACCATTCCTACTGATTTCTGACAGCTGTAACCCTCCAAAATATTAGTTGTAATCTTCTTTCATGCTACAGTGGTTCCTGTTCTCTAATTTTTATCACGGTGTTTTCCACAGAATAAAGGTTTTTGTTGAAATGCCTTGGTTATTTTGTCAAACATGATAGTAGAACAGTGGTCTACCTACAGCTAATATTTCTTCAAATTTTGAGCGATTAAGATTAACAATATTTCAGAAAAAAATCAAGTATTTATTGATTGTTCTCTAATTTTTACCTCCACCGTATGTATACATATATATAATAAGGCTGTTTTTAAAACCAGTAAGATATTTGCATTGTGATATTATTTATGACTGCCACATCACAAAATGCTGTACAAGCAGAAATGTCTCAAACACAGATTCATCTGAAAACTGTCCAAGCATAGCCTGCATGTGTGTGAGTGGTGTTTCTGGCTCTGACCTGGTGCAGTGGTGAGCACTGGATGAAGTTGATGGGCGGCTCGCTCTGTTTGCTCTTCAGGCGCAGCATGTTGTCGGTGTAACCCCAGCTCAGAATAGCCGACCACTGTATGTCGGTGCTGTGCATGCTCCTTACACCTAAGAGACAAGGGGAAAACACTTCATTTGTTCTGTGAGGTGATTTTCTACGACAGCACATTCACTCATTTTCATTTCCTCTCGTACAATGGGAACTGTGTTCATTCGTGTGGATAACTGTGACAAGACACAAATGCAGATGCAATAAAAGCATTAGTAACTGGTCATGGACCAAAACACAGTCAAGATTAGTAATTGGCTGATACATAGCTGAGCTGATTAATCATTCAATATTTTCATTTTAAAATTATGGCTGTTTGATAAACTGTGCCTGCTTTTCCCATTAAAACAGAAAAATTTTAATTTAAACATTTTTTTATTTTTACATCTGGCATTAACATCTGCTTTACTGAATAAAAACATCTGCTAATAAATGTACAAACAGATAAATAAATGAAAATGCACTAAATACATCTGGAGCACATCTGAAATTCATAAACACTACCATTCAAAAAATGTTTTTGAATGAAGTCATTATTTTATTTATTATTATTTATTTGATTAAAAAAATGCAGTAAAAACAGTAATATTGTGAAATATTATCAAACTGTTTTCTATGTGAATATATAGTAAAATGTAATTTATTCCTGTGATCAAAGCTGTATTTTCAGCATCATTACGCCAGTCTTCAGTGTCACATGATCTTCAGAAATCATCCTAATATGCTGATTTGCTGCTCGAGACACATTTCTGATTATTATCAATGTTGAAAACAGTTGTGCTGACAAATATTTTTGTGGAAACCGTGATACATTTTATTTTTCAGGATTCACAGATGAATAGAAAGTTCAAAAGAATAGCATCAATTTAAAAATACGATTTTTTTCTAACATTACGTCTTTACTGTCACTTTTGATCAACTTAGTTCATCATTGTTGAATAAAAGTATTAATTTCTTTCATAACAACATCTTACTAAATGCAGAGAGTTTATATCAGGTTTATAATTTCATATTTAAGCATGATGAAGCAGGTTTGTGTGTGTGTTCTCCTTCACCTTGCTCTTTGCTGTAGATCATCATGAGGCAGAACTTGCGCGAGAGTCCGCAGATGGCACGCGTGGGCAGCGCCAGCAGGGAGCCGAAGTGTTCGCCGTGAGGTTGACTGAAACAGACCACGGGGTCCGGAGCACTGGGGGATCCCACATACTCGCCCCATTTCAAGCCCTTTATCCATGGCAGAGGACTCTAGAAACAACAGTAGGGGGATTAAAGATTTTAAAAGACCAACTGGATCATTTAGGATTCAAATAAAGTCTTTCTCTTCCAGAAGAACCCACCCTTTTCAACAACAAATAGGTAAACAAAAACTAAAGAAAATTGTGTGCGTTTTATATGAATATTTTTTATATTAACTATTCCTTCAATGTCAGACTGAATAATAATTTCAGCGCTGTATGTTTGCTGTACCGGGTAGACGGTGTCTTTGGGCTGCTCGCGGCTCTCTCTGAAGGCCAGCTGCACCAGGAGGCCCATGGCTGCGGGCAGTTCTGCCTCTGACAGGAGTTTGGTTCCGGCTCGGCTTATGTGCGAGGCGTTGAACAGCTGTCTGGGTGTTTGGCCGTACGTCTTGATCATAGTTTCTAGAGCCCGACGCTGCACAGGGTCTTCAACGGCAGATACGTCCATGCCAAAGTAAGTCTAAAAAGAGAGGGAGAGGAAAGATGAGTCAGATACTAGTTGACAGGCCGAAGCGGATGGACGTGTCTGATATGGTTGATCAATATCTGCTGCATTAGCATTTCTGGCTGATATATCTTTACGCTGATATATACACTACCATTCAATAATCAGAAATGTTTCTTGAGCAGCAAATCAGCATATTAGAATGATTTCTGAAGGATCATGTGACACTGAAGACTGGAGTAATGAATGATGCTGAAAATTCAGCTTTGAGCAAAGCAATTAACTACATTTTACAATATATTCACATAGAAAACGGTTATTTTCATTTGTAATAACATTTCACAGTTTTTACTGTATTTCTGACCAAATAAATGCAGCCCTGGTGAGCAGAAAAGTCTGTCACACACATTTAAAAAATCATACCGACCTTAAACGTTTGAATGGTAGTGTATGTAATCTAATGGTCATAAAATAACCTAAGCAAAATATAAATTTTTACATTTTCTTTCTTTTTTTGACTTTGGGTTGAAATATTATCTGGACATGTTTTTGGCAGGCTTTGATCTACATATATATATATTTATAAATTCCAGCGTTAAGTGTGCTGTAGCTGTACATAATAAGGAATCGTACTGCAGGATGAAAGACATTGATGGCCTGGACCGCAGCTTTGCCCTTTTGTTTGAGTCCAAACACCAGGTCAATCCACTGGCAGAGCATCTGGGAGACTTGATCCGATTCCAGAGCCTGTCTGTGGATGAGGATGAAGAGTCGCGGGTCATTCCTGGCCCACGGCGGCAGATTCACGTGGTTCACCCGCTCGCTGTTCTGCCGCACGCCAAAGTCAAAACCTGCCAGAGGGGAAAGTGGGAAATATCATGCTAACATTAGAAGAGGGAAGATTTGTCTAGATAATATGATTCTGATGTGCTGAACCAGAATGTTTTTACATGAATATTCCTCTTGAAGATCTAGGTTACTTAAAGGTTATTTCTCTTTTTTGATTTTGACAGGCATTTTTATGCCAATAAGATTCAGAGGCATTTCATAATTTCAATTGATAAAAACTATCATCATATCAAATATACGCAGAAGCTTAAAGGTCTTCAAAATAAAAGTTCGGTTTAACTTGAAGAAATTATCACAGAAATATATTAGTATTGTATAGTAGCATGTACCTCTTAAAGTAATAATAATAATAATAAATTTTACATATCGCAATTTTTCTTCCATGTTTTTATTTTAACAGTAAATCTGTTGTGCAGCACTTATTTTGTTAATGTTAATGTTTTATGCCTTCATTTGATAACCACCATTTTTATAATAAATTCATTTTAAATTGTGAATCCAGAAAAATTAAAATAGACAACACACAATTCCCCCAAAAAACAAACATTTCATAGGGACCCATTATAAAACAAATTTTTTTTAAAGAAATTATTAAATTGTTAAAGTTTTATGAATTCATTTGATTAGAAATGCTTCTTGACTATAACAAATTTAGAAAAAAAAAAACTTTTACTAAATTGTAAAACTTTGAATAAACTGTTGTTAAATTGTACAAGTTTCATGATTTCAATTAATTAGATATTCTGTTTGATTACTAACCACTACCATTAAAATGCAATCCAGAAAAATGGATTTAAATGGAATTTGGGAAAAAATTAGTGCTGTCAAATTATTAATCGCGATTAATCACATCCAAAATAAAAGTTTTTGTGTACATAATATATGTGTGTGTACTGTGCATATTTATTATGTATATATAAATACACACACATACACTATATATTTCAGAAAAATATGTTTATATATTAAATATATTTATACATAATATAATATAAATTATATGAATATAAATATATACATGTCTGTGTATTTCTACATACATAATAAATATACAAAGTACACACATATATATTATGTAAACAAATTTTTTTATTTTGGATGCGATTAATCGCGATTAATCATTTGACAGCACTAGAAAAAAGTAAATAGAATTTTCAATCAGTCAATCAATCAATCAATGAAATTGATTTCTTATGGCCCTAAAAATTTAATTATTGTTAAACTTTTAATAAATTGTGTAAGTTTTATGATTTCTACTAATTAGACATGCTTTTTGATTACTAAAATTGAATGTAACCATTAAAACCGAATCCAGAAATGTTTTTAATGGAATTTGGGACAAAATAAAATGGAATTTGGGGGCGGCGGGGGGGCGGATTTCATAGGTCCTACATTTTCATAATTAGATCTCATGAGAAGTTAAGTGCTAGAAGAAGAGGTCAAGAAAACCAGGAGTATAAGAGTGCCCACCTTCTCTGTTGACCAGAAACTCGGGCAGGTAGAAGAACTCTGGGATGAGCTCTTTGACATCCGTCATGGACTCGTAGGATGACAGACGCCACGTGGTGTTCATGGAGTGGAACGTTCGGTCAGGAATATCAAAGCTCTGGTCTGTGAGACACACAAAACCTTTCATTAGTTTCTTGTGTAACCTGATATGGATAAACCAACTGAACTAAAAATAGACTGAGAAAGAAGGAAAGACGAATAAAGAGGCTGGATGAAAGGCCTGATCATCTTTCTGAAGCTAATGCATGTAGCGTGAGACTTCAGAAAGGACCTTTTCAATGACAGCCTTTAAAAGCATCGCACTGACATGTTTGAAGACCTCGCTGCAAACACAGGAAACGCAGGTGCTGTTAAATATTAAAAAACGTAGCGATGCAGAATCCTAATTATGATGATGAATAAACTCAACGAGCTGCAGCTGTGTAAGGCATTCATACGGCGTTCTGACCAGACAACAAATCATGCATTCAGTCTTTATTAAGGGCGGCTGCATTAGATTTTAAGTATTTGATTTCATGTTCCAGAGCTTCTGTTTTCTTGATTGGGCAAATTTTAAACAATTAATTAAAGTACAAAAAAGTACAATCAAAATTATGAAATGATGTAATAAGGTACAAGGATTCTTGTTAAAATATTTTCATGTATAAAATAGATATTGCTATTTATTAACGTTGTTAAAAGACTGACAGAAGTAATAATAGTCTGAAAAATCTCATTTTTAATCAATTTAATCTAATAAAAAATCTATTTTTAAACTGAACAGTGTATCGACAAAAAATTTAAATATCAAAAAAGTTTGCATTTGTTTTTGTTGACCATCATATTTGATACATCAGGCTTTTATGGCTCATATAGTCTGATATAGTGAGAATATGGAGGAAAAAACAGCTCAATTTTATTCAGAGGCTCAAACTGAGCGAAAATATGCAATTTAGTGCAGATGCTGATATTTATATATGGCCAAAAAGTGATGAAATTCTGATGCTTGTAATGTAAATCAATGAGATCTTTATAACAGTACAGCAAATACCTACATAAAATTATAAAAAAAATTAATTAATCAGTTGTCACTCTATATCTCCAATAGTATGTCTTAGTAAGATGATATTTAAATGCTTAGTTTTATGTTCAAAGCATATAATGCAATGCAATACAATGATGATTGAGAGATGAACAAATAAACGCTCCTCAAAATCTTGATGATCATATTTGAGACTTTTGAAGACTTTTCATGGATAATCAAGTAAAGCCGAGCTGCTTCAGTCAGTAAGTGTTCATCTGTACAATATCAAAGTTATTCTTACATTTACTTTATAAAATCAGTAAAGCTGAAGGTGGACGTTTGAGTTTACACTAAAATAGCTTTGACTGGATGAAAAACTCTAAACTATCAATCAGACGACAGAAAGCATGATTGTGTGCGACAGGTTTAACATCAAAGTTTGATCATGTTGATCATTTAGAGTCCTTGCATATCAAATATGATTCAGTAGGCTTTATAGGGTTAATTATCATTCTTTGTGTTCATTTAGTGAAAAATAGTGTGGAAACATTCTTACTGCTTTAGTTTTTACATTAAACATTTTGAATCTGCATGGAATAAGTTTGGACTAAAGGATAAATGATTTTGAAAGTTTTTTTTAAAAGTCAAACTGACCTTGATAGGCCAGAAACATCTTGGTGAAGGGAGGCAGCCGGACAAGGAAGTGCAGGACGGTGCCGCTGTTGGAGTAGTGAGAGCCGTAGTGATAGGGCTGGACGGGGGGCATAATAGATATAAAAAATTATAATATATATTATTATTTATAATAATGTGGTTGTAGGAATTAATTTCTGGGATTGCCTTTTCTGCCAAGGACATTTACGATGCTACGTCAGAATTTGGCCAGAAGAAGATATCTTAGAAGGCAACATAATGTTGCCACCTACTGTTTGGAAAGGCCTTCGTGCTGGAAATGCCTAAAAATGCTGCCTACGTAGGCAGCTCAGCAGGTTTTGGAACAGAGCCACAGTGTGATTGGTTAACAGGCAATGCTGTAAATGGTTAACAGGCGCTGGTGTAAACAGGAATTAGAGCCTGCAGTGCTGCAGTACCCTGTAATTGTCCACATAACGGTCTTCCTTCTCTTTAGACTGCACTGCGATGGGTTTGCTGAGGTACCTGTTACATTAAAAAGACAAATAGAAAGCAAAACTGAATGCAATACTAATATATCTATATTAAAAGCAATAAAATAGTACAAATGAAAGTACGCAAATTCCATATTGATCGACTACATCTTTTCACCACATATAACTATAAATATTACATATTTAAAAATAATCTTATCTTAATAATATAATATTTTATGTATAATCTAGGGCTGCACGATTAATTCATATTTGAGACTTTTGAAGACTTTTCATGGATAATCAAGTAAAGCCGAGCTGCTTCAGTCAGTAAGTGTTCATCTGTACAATATCAAAGTTATTCTTACATTTACTTTATAAAATCAGTAAAGCTGAAGGTGGACGTTTGAGTTTACACTAAAATAGCTTTGACTGGATGAAAAACTCTAAACTATCAATCAGACGACAGAAAGCATGATTGTGTGCGACAGGTTTAACATCAAAGTTTGATCATGTTGATCATTTAGAGTCCTTGCATATCAAATATGATTCAGTAGGCTTTATAGGGTTAATTATCATTCTTTGTGTTCATTTAGTGAAAAATAGTGTGGAAACATTCTTACTGCTTTAGTTTTTACATTAAACATTTTGAATCTGCATGGAATAAGTTTGGACTAAAGGATAAATGATTTTGAAAGTTTTTTTTAAAAGTCAAACTGACCTTGATAGGCCAGAAACATCTTGGTGAAGGGAGGCAGCCGGACAAGGAAGTGCAGGACGGTGCCGCTGTTGGAGTAGTGAGAGCCGTAGTGATAGGGCTGGACGGGGGGCATGGGGTCGTCCTCTCTCTTGCCTTTCTTATACTCCTCCTCCAGATACTGTGGAGGAAATCAATGTTAGTTACACTTACACACACTAATGACACTAAACATGGAGGCTCATGAAGCAGTAATGCAATGCATTATGGATACAAATGATGCATGTGTAGAATGAAACGGGCTGTGTTCCAAAATCTTACCTATGTAGGCAGCTGTCTTGTAAGGTAGCATGCTAACTGAAATAGTGTCTTATAAATGACTAATGCATGGGACACTTGATTCACAATAATTTTAAAAACAATGATTTTAATAGAGAAAAATAAATGATACTCCCACAAGCATAAAAATACACAGCGTATACTGTATATTGAGAACAATATGGAGTAATTTGAGTAAAATTGTAACGATATTTATTAAATCACATTATTATTTAATAATTTCGTTATTAATATTATAAATAATATATATATATATATATATATATATATATATATATAATACTAAAAATTACATATTACTACAACTTTAG